AAAAAAACGAAACGAAATGAAACACTGATAAACATCCATAATTCAAATAGAAAAAAAGAACATTCATGAAAGTATTATCGATAGGAAAAATTTTGTCATAACTTTGAATGAAAAAATTTTAATTGAATAAATTGGAAAAAAAATTCAAAAAATTATTCTTTCTATAGGAAATACAAAATTTTTCTTGTCACATAAATCAATCCTAAAAATTACATCTAAAATTTACACTCAGCAAAATTCATGGACAATTGTTCAGAAAGCCTAAAAAATTATCATTTCAAATGGAATATAAAATTAAATCGTTTTCGAATGATCATAAAAATATATTTAAAAATTTATATGTTTTTTTTTCAATTTCTTTCAAATCGTTTCTCATTGCAGTGAATGATCGATCGCTTTTTGAATGTTCTCGTAGGAATCAGCTCCAAGATAATCGGGATGTCCAACTTCCCAAGCTCGCATTCGTTCTTCATCGGTTGGTGGTGATGATTGATTAAATGATACATCCGGTATCTGAAATATTTTCTTTTAATTTTTTTAATTTAAAAATTTTAATAAAATTATGGAAAATTTTTGCAAATATTTCCATTTTTCATTTACTGATATATATATATACTATTGTATTAATGTTATTAGCAAAAATGCAAATTATATGTAGAAAAATAAGTTTCAAAAAAATTTTCAAATTATCAAGATGAAAAATTAATTACTTTTTTTTTTCATCTTGGAAATTTGAAAATTTCTTTTTTTTTGCTTTATCTTCTTATAGTTTTGCAGAATTTATGGTATATATTTGAATAAAGACTGTTTGCATGTGACGAGTTAATGGGGAAAAAAAAAATTATCAGATAATTTGATAATACTATCACACATCAATCATGTTAATGTTACAAATTCGCATTATTATGATCAATTATTGATTAAAGGTGTCCTGGAAAATCGTTGTTTTTTTTTCAATCAAAAAAATTTATGCAAAATTAATAGCAATGCATAAATGAGATGAAAAATGCTAACCTGTGAACATGCAACATTCATATCAGATAGCCGTCTGGTGGCTTCCTTAACAAGAACTTTTTGTTAGCATAATTAAACAATTAGTGTAATAAAAAAAATTGTTACTTATTAAATTTCATGCTTAGCATCCACACATTTTACTTTCAAATCATTTTGAAAATTTTTTAAAAGCCAAACTTTAGAAGATATGTTTAAGATATAATTCATCAGAGAATTTAAATTTAATTAATTCTAAGAAATTCAATTAACCTTTTCGCCTGTGCTGTTAAAATAAGCCTTATGGAAGGGAAAAAAAGAAATGAAATATTATTATTTTCAAAGCAATTCTTTTTATCCTTCCTATTAATTGGAAATTTGTTCTTTAAAGAAATAAATTATGATGAACATGAAATATTTCCGATGACAAAACAAGAGAGTCCTCATAAATTACTGAGCCATAATTTGACACAAAATCAAAGTTCAATTCAGTTATTTTGAAGTTAAAATTAAATAAGACATGAATAATTAAAATTAATTAAATGAATCTTAATGAATCTTACATTGTGACAGTAATGATTTCGACAACTTAAAATGTTCATTTCGATAATTTCAATAATCAAAAAATTGATTTGCATTGAAAAAAACAATACCGTATGCAAATTACATAATTTGCAATTCCTCATAATTTAATTTCTCTTTCAAGCTAATGAAATAACTTTCAAAATAATATGTCTTATTAAAACTTAACTGAAACATATATGAATTTAGGAGGAAAATTTCAAATGCTCTATCCGATTAATTACCATATATGAATTTCAAATTTTTGTTTTTTTTTTTTTTTTTTAAATACTACTGCTTTCAAAAAGATTTAATAAGAGATATCCACCATATATCATCATTCAGATGGGAAAAGTGATAATTTTAAACAAAATAGGATTAAAAGATTGATAAAATTGAAATTTTTCAAAACAATACTCAAAAGATAGTTAAGCGATAGTGCACTCACAAGTGAAAAAGCTGCCATCTGATTGGCGATATGAGTGGGTGGATGACGTAATGGTTTCCATGCCCCAGAAGTTGGCGGTATACAATGGAAAACTCGCATGCATAAGGGAACAGGTGATAAATTGCTAGATGATAATAATACACTCCTCCTTCGGCCATCTCTACTAATATCCTCTTCAGAATTGAAGGGAATAACGGTGACAGATGTAGCGGTTGTTCGTGATGATGATGGTGGTGGTGGTGATGATGATGATGGTGCAATGGTGGTTGTTGTGGTAGGAATGATAGTTGATGATTGTAGAGTGGTGATGCGAATTATTTCTGTGATAGGTTCAGTTGTTGATGAAGAATGTGACGAACTCACATGTAATATGGTGGTGATATTTGAAGTTAGTTGATTTTTAAACAATGACCACCAGTAAGCAAGATATTCCGAGAAATGAACACTCTCTGCTGTTTGTTGCCATGGTTTCACCGGACCCAAAAAGTGAACTATTTTCACCTAAATTTTGCAAAAAAAAAAAGAAAATTAAACAAACAAATGAAATAAATAAATAAATGTGTTTTTAATTTTTCAAATAGTGAACATTTAAAAATTTAAATATATTCATAAGATAGATAACCATTATCAATTGATTCGATTTTTTTCAAATGAAATGAGCTCATTTTAGCACCAGAAATAGTAGTTTTTTGTTTTTCAAAATTGATTTAATTGTTTCTTTTTTTTTTTTTACTTAAATGATCTTTTTAAATGTCCTTAATCAAATAAAATTATATAAAAAAATATTTTAAATGAATGTCAGTGATCTGACATTTATAAATCTCAAAATTTTTATTTTTCTTTTTTTTTTGCAACATGAATAATCAACTTGATGATTTCAATTAGAGAAATATATGAAACGTGCCTGGCTGCCAAACTTTTTGAAAGCAGCTTGATAAGTGTAAATTACTCCAGAGGTCATATTGTAAATGAAAGGCAACCGAAAAGCTGGTGGTTTATCTCGCCAACCTTTGAAGAAATCATTTAGCAAACCTTGATCACCACCTGTAAATATCTTCTAAAATTCGAAAAAAGGATGATAAATCAATAGTTGAGTTAATAAATTTGGCAAAATGAAATGATAATTTGATAAATAATTTCAATCCTTAAAATCATTTACAACTTTAGAAGTTTAACCCTTCTTTTTACTTTAGTAATTTTTAATCTACCTTAATAATTTTTAGTCCTCCTTAGTAAATTTTATCCTTTCCATATATCAATTGAAAAGAAATTAAACAATAGGGCAAAAAAAAAAAAAATCATACCATCAAATGAACCATGTTCCAGGGCAAAGTTCAAAATGTTCAGATATGTTTGTTCAGATGGTTGATAAACAAAAACACCCGAATTGAAGCAATCTGGCCAACCAATATCTGCTACTGCAGAAAGTTCATCATGATCGAATAATTCATCAGCATTTTGCATTACCTAAATGTAAACAAAAAAAAAAAAACCTGAATGATAATCTGAAATTATCGGTCTAGAAAATAATAATAAGATAAAATAATTTGAAAGAAAAAAAAAATTTCCTATCAATTAATAAATGTTATGAAACTAACAAGGCAATCAGCATCGAGAAAGACACATTTGCTATATTGTGTTAGCCTCCAACAATGTATTTTGGTAAAAGTTACACCCAAATCAGGTCTGCCAATTAAGCGTAAATTAGCTGTATCATTACTGTCCAAAATGTCTACCATACTGATAGCATCAAATGTTGCAGCAAGCTCATCTCTTTAAATTCATTACATTTCTTGTTAAAAATTTTCATATAAAAATTTCTTCCCTTCTCTTTTTTCCCCATCCATTCATGCTTCATTTAAATGCAAAAAATTTACAAATTATCAATTTATCAATAAAGATTTATCAATAAAGATCAATTTATCAATAAGGATTAAATTTTGAAAAGTGATATAAATTGACCGAAGTTGTTGTGATACGCCAGTTGTAATCATACAGTGTAATTTTTTCGTTGTTTGTTGAATTTTCAATGAATGAGCTAAAACAAGCGCTCCAACAGCATATGCGTCTGATGTTGCTAATGTCACCCATGCTTCACTCATCTTTCTTGCAAGGCAAACTGCAAAAATGCACATATTAAATGATAATTTAGAAATTGAAATGCGACAATAGCTAATGCATTACATAAATTATAGCTACTAAAATATGATAATATGTTTACAGCATTTTACATATCAGAGACTGTCTGATCTGAATTCTTGAATAGCTCGAAGCAAATGATATGTAAAAAGGAAAAAAAAAAAACAGAGGAGATGATAATCGATTGTGGAATTTTCGATTCCATATTCCATTACTATTATATAATATATCATTTATAAATATTCAATCTACAAATGGTTTTTTTTTTTTTGAATATATTTAGTGATCGATATAGAAAGGAATGCTTTTTTTTTTGGACAAATGAATTAAATAATACAGCACGAATTTATTTGCAAAACTAACGGTTACCAATACAAAATATTCGTTATTTTGTAAAATTATATATGGCAAATTTTTCTGATAAGTGAAATTTTTAAAGTATGAAATTCAAAATTGGAGTTTTATAATAATATTTGAAATTTGTTTTTTACAGAACAATAGTTCATTTGATTTATCATTTGTAAGCGTTAATTGTATTTTTTGCCTTTTTTTTTTTTTTTTTTAAAAATATTGAAATGTTTTCTTTTCAACCAAATGAACTTGTCATTCTACTGACCAATTCATGAATTTTCGTCAGAATTTTTTTTTTTAAGTTCATGTTAAATTAATTTGAATAAATCACTGAATTAGATAAAGAAATTAAATCAATCAAATTCAATTTTAAAACAACACTTAACAGCCAAAAACAAAAAAAAAATAATGTATTGTTTCAATTTGCATTAATGATTGATTTAATTCAGCGTAGACATTTATTTTCTTTTCGTCAAAACTAAAAAAATAATTTGCGTTTCAAAAAAAAAAATTCATCAAAGAGAAAGTTTAGTAAAAAATTGCAATGATTTGAAATGAACAAATCATTGCAATTTTTTGAAATGAACAGTGAAATTCGAATGTATTTTCTGTAACATTAAAATTCTTTCAAAATTGCAAAAAAAAAGCTAACAAAAACGAATTGTTAGTGGCGGAAGTGATTTGTATTTTTCGGCCTATCCGACAGCCTCATTTATAAATTTCGAACGAGTCGTTGTTGCAGCAAATCAGTCAGTTTCATCCTTCCTTTTGTTTCTTCTAATTTATTACAAAAAAGCATCGTCTTTCTTTTCTTTGCAATTCAAAAACACTGCGAAATAATTTGAGTGATGATGATGATAATGATGATGATGATAATCTCTGCGTAGAATAAATAAAAATTTAATGTTAGAAAAAAAATAAAAATTTAAAAATTTAATCTGTTGACAATGTTTTTTATTTTTCTTAGAAACACTCTCCCATATACTACTCATATAAAAGAATTAAACTTAAATTTTAAAATTAAAAGTTAAATTTAAACATTTCCGTCTTTCATTCAGAGAGTAAATTTGCTTATTTCTGAATTATCAAAATTATATTCCTCCAGTGTCAAATGATAACTTTCAGAATTTCATTTCTTTAAATAAATCTGTTAATTTTTTTTTTTTTTTTTTTGAGGAAGGAAAAGTGCTACAAGGGATATAAAAAAAAGCGGTAGTGTCGGAAAATTTCCGACAGTTATCGGTATTTTTTTTATCGTATGCTATTTATTAGTTGAGCATTTGTATCACTCATAAAAGTATGTTCTAGAAATAATTTTCAATAAAAAAAAATCAAAAAAAAAAAGAAACGTAAAAAAAGTAATTTTATTCATTTTACACAAAAGTGCTTTAATATGCGAAGCAAAATTTAAACGTTAGCAAAACAAAACAATAAATAGCTTACAAGTTCAAATTATAAATTACAAAGTAAGATAATAGTTGGCTGAATGTTACAATGAATTATTTCATGTAAGAAAACAAAGCCAAACTAAGTAATCGTTTAAATAACTGGAAAATTTTTAGTTAAACTAATTTAAATTGTACTGAATGACAATAAGCAAAGTGATAAAGACTACAATGAAGACTTGCTAATATCTCATATTTATTTACAATTATACCAATTTTTAACCAGTAAATTAGGCCTTTATTGAGGAGCGCTTTTGTTTTAGTATGGTTGCATTGCGCCATTTCTTGCTTATATAATTGATAGTGTAAGAAAGAAAAAGATTTGAAAGATTTATGATGTTAGCATTTCTGTAGCAGAATTGCAAAAAGCACCATCACGATGATTTCCCAACGGTAGAAAAAATTTGAAGATGATAAAATTGATTGACAAAATGAGATCAGAATATCAGTATGCTTTTTTTATATTGTGCCAAATAGATTGAAAAATTAAAACTTTAACTTATCATTCAAGGAATAAACAGGAATTTAGAGCAAAATAAATGATCAAAAATGAAGGTTATCCAATTCTAGAAATGATCTTTGAGCAAAAAAAAAAAAGAAAAAAAAAACGAATGAAATGAGAAAGGTAAAAGGAAGTAAATAAATTAACAAAATGCCGTACCAATTTAATCGTTATGTGTTCATCAATTTGAACGCAAATTTCACACTCAATATGATCATTAAAAGAGGCGGCAGAAATTGGTTGAATTATTGGTTTAGTGCCATCTGTGTAATTTACATTAACTATTTTTAGATTATTTAATAACATTTTCCACTAAACAATGCTAGTATTATTTTTGAAATTTTTATCAAATAATTTAACAACATAGTATTTTAATTTAAATGAAGGAAAATGATATGTGAATATAATTGAAAATTGATATTATTCTTTTCTTGAAGAAAAAAAGAATGAAAAAGAATTGAGTTCAAAACATTTTCAATTATGAAATAACAACTAAACTTTTAAACATCTGAAGAAAACAACTGATTTAGATGAAACTTGCAATTGAAATGTTTATGCAACACACATACATTCATATACAGAGGAAGAGAGAGAGAGAGAGAGAGAGAGAGAAAGAAAGTTAGGGATGGAAAAAATGAAATTAAGAATATAAGATGATAGGAAAAGTTTGCTTTCAATTGATTAAGTAAGTTAGGAAAACGAAGAGAAAAGAAGGCAAGATCAGTTTAGTTAATCGATTTATCCACAAAAAACAGCCGCGAATGCTTGTTGATTCTATTGCTCAAATGTTAGCAGCAAAATTTTTTAGAGAGAGATAGAGAGAGAGAGAGAGAGAGAGAGAGAGAGAGAGAGAGAGAGAGAGAAAGAGAAAGGGAGAAAAAGTTTACAGAGTTTTGTTTCACAAAAAATTTAATGTCAACAGAAATAACATGAATGATTAGAAGAAAGTTTGAAATGATTGAAAATAAGGAAAATTATAAATGATAATTCGAATAATAATTCGTTATTTTAAATGGTAATCCTAATTGTTATCTAAATTTAGATTTAATTATAATTCATTTGTATAAATATACATTTTGTTAAAATTTTTAATTTATTTATAGAAATAAATTATGATTTATTTGTATGAATATACATTTTATTACATAATTAATTATAAATTATAATTTTGCTCTAATTTTTCATACATCGATATGCATTATCATATCTTGGAATGCATTTTTTCTTTCTTCAATAAAGGTATTTTATTAAATTTATGAAAAATTAAGATTAGATGGAAATTACTTAAAACAATGAAATTTCTTTTAAGGAATATTCAATCATTATATGGACAAGTGTAATTCATTAAAATAAGAATGAAAATAATTATTTCAATTGGTACAGCTCTAAGCGTTCGGATGAAATTTACACTTAAAAATTGAAAAATTTTAACAAAATAATATATTTAAGATTTCATTTTCCTTTTTCTATTAATTTATTTAAAAATGTTACTTTACGGAATTTTCTGTTAATTTTGAAATTTTGAGTATTGAATATTTGATCAATGAATTTTTTTCGACTTTTTTTTTTAAGCAAAGTTAATATAAATTGATTGGTATGTTATGTAAAATTGATTAAATTTTATCGGGATTTTTTAATAATGAAAGAGAATAAAACATTTGACTGATAATTTAGAGAGCTTTTTGTCTTTCATTTAAAACAAAAAAAAAAAAAAAACATCAAAAATATGAAATAACTGTAAGATTGTCGACATATCGATTTATTATAACATTTAAATTCACAAAAGTTAAATGAAAATCGATAAGAGAGAATTCGTCTTATTTGCATTCTTCTTTTTTTGCTTCGCGATAAATATTTTTATTTGAATGAACAGTTTTATTTTACTTTTGTACTCCACATGTCTTTTTCATCAGCAAATAATAAATTGTATTAAAGTTAGCAGAATTTTCAAATTCGATTTTTCATTTTTGTATTTTACTATATTATTTTGAATTATCACAGAATTCTAATTTGTGCATTTAAAATGTTCAAATTTTCATTTTCTTTCAATAAGACAAAACAAATGAACGAATAAGGTATATCGGAGTATACTTCCCGTGATAGATAAAATTTTTGACTGTAATTTGATATTAGCTAATTAAATCAAAATAATGCCACAACGGGGAAAGACGTGCTGGCAGCAATTATCAATCGGATCATTGAAAATAACCAAATGACAAACAAATGATAGAACAAGTAATGTGTTAATTAAGATGAAATAATTAATTGAGTTCATAGATTCGCATTTGTGTCTGTCTGTGTGTCTGTGTGCGTCTATGTCGTCTGTGTGTGTCTGTGTGTGTGTGTCTGTGCACTTCTGTATGTGTCTGTGTCCGTGTCTGTGTGTGTGTGTGTCTGTGTGTATGTCTGTGTATGTATTTAAATTTTAACGCCAATAAAAGTGAGCCTAATAGGAGAGTACACAATAATGTTCCTATGATTCATTGATTGATTTATTTATTTATGAATTCTTTAAAACCTTGAAAAAATTATTTTCATTATTTTAAGCTCAGCAAATATATAAAATTGGCGTTAAAATTTAATTAGAGAAAATGAGATTTAAATATATTTTCTGTTACAAATCATCGATCAATGTTTTAGGGATTTATGATCCCTTCTTTGTTTA